TCCGCACCGGCGGGAGTCTGGGGCAGGCCATCCCGACCGACTTACGGGTCAGGGGAGGGCTGGCGGGCGGCAGAGCCCTCGGCGAGTCCCCTCCCGTGTGTGAGGGGCAAGAGGCCGAGCGGCACCGAGCTACGGGCGGCCCGAGGGGCGGAAAACATGAGAGCTCTGCGGCGGGCAGGGATGCGCATAGCACGGAGCTTGGCTCCTGTCTGCGCTGGTGAGCTGGGCAGAAAGGTGTCGAGGGTGTGAAGAGGTGGCGTTTCGAGGTGACAGGCAGTTATTTTACATAGTCAGGGTTAGAAAATAAACCGGTGGAGCGTCGGAGGTGCCTGTTGTGGAGGTGGATGGAGGCAGAGCCCGTGTTGGCACGCGTGGGCACAGCGCTCGGTGGTGTCTGCCCGTGACCTGGGCAGCTCGCACGCATCGCTGCGGCCCGCGTTAACAGCGGCCAAACAGGAGGAGAATTTAAAAGACCTCGTGTGATAATTCCCTGTAAATGCCTGTATTGCATTTTAATGGTTTGCCCCCATTAGAGAAGACGCTAATGTCTAGGAGATACTGTGGTATCTCTAAATTGAAGATATGCCTCACTTTTGTGCTGATGAATTTTCAACTCTGTGAGGAATAAATTAGCCCGTCTGAAGAATCTTGTGGAGTTCCATAGTTAAAGCCAGAAGAGATCTAATTCCCGTACAATACAGAATGTAAAACTTCTTTATCAGTGAAAAATCTATCGATATGGAAAGCAAACATCACTTGGCATTTCAAAATAGCTTTCTCATTTTGGGAACAGAGAAAGACGAGATGATGGTATTCTGGAACAAAACACTTCTCTCTTCAAATGGGTATAGTAAAACGATATGTTAAATTATATTTTTATTGCCCAAGATTAATTAAATGGGGTGTGAGGGGGTGTAGAAATTGCGGAGCCAGTGCTAATGGTAGACCTTAAAAGAATGTAAGTCTTATAAAACTAAAAAAAAAAAAAGATGCCCTGCCCAATTCAACCCCTCTCGTTAGCATTCTGTATAATACATACATGCGCTTACCATGCCTCTGAATTAGTTTAGTGCCAGTACATTGAAACTCGTGGGTTCAGAATCTGCCGGTATAGCACAGTTTCTTCTGGCAACTGTTCAATCCCATGTGAACACAAGTGGGAATAATATCTTGGCTACAGAAAGGCCCTCTTGGAAAAAGATAAACCAAACAAAGAAACTATTCCTCGAAGAAGAAGAATAGTGTTATAAAATGGGTGCTGAGAGCTGGTGTAGTGTAGGAGAAAGTGGGGAGGAGAGCCATGGTGTTTGACTTAGTATCTCGCTCTGAGATGCACTATCCGTAGCTTTTTGGAATGGGACAGTATTTATGAAACCTGGCACTCTACCTGGAAAATAAATGCAACTCTGATACGTTTGAAGTAACAATAGCGATAATCTACCCTTTGCAGAGCATTGCCGAAGTATTCCGATGTTTTATTTGTATGGAGAAATTGCGTGATGCACGTCTGTGTCCTCATTGCTCCAAGCTGTGCTGTTTCAGTTGTATTCGGGTGAGTTTACGTATAGTTTATTCTTGCAAATGTATGAACTTGAAAAATACTGATCTTATGAACACATTCTTGCTTCTTTGTTGCCCCTTTTCCTCGAGTTCCAAGGATTCGTTTTTCCTGCTCTGTGCTCTTTAGTTTCCCTTTCAAAATCTTTTACAACACCCTGAGGAAAAACTAGGCAGGCTGTGCATTGCGTTCAGTAGTGCTAATTATAGGGACTATCTGGAATAATTGCTTTTAAGAAACAGACATACAACGATCCCTTCTTGAGCATTTTTTGAGAGTCAGTGATGCCTGTGTGGAAGACAAAAGTTGGAACAGGAATCAAATGCTGACTTTGCTTCTGTCAGTATGGAACACTGGAAGGTCATAACATCACCTCTTGTCATCTGGGAGATGTTTTTAAATGCTTGCCAAACTCGTGTGATATGATCAGATATGGGCTAAATCTTTTGTGAGGGAGTCTGGGATAGCAGGCTGAAGCAGCATCTGAAGTACCGCAATTCATTTATTAAGGTCATGGTTACCAACGTATAACACTTCAGTTGCGAGTCCACACGCTGTTACTTGTTAGCGTGGTGAGAGAGGGTTCAGCTGAGGTTTTCAGACCTCTGGTAGTATTTCCAGAAATCGGAACAATCATCATTCCCTTTGAAAGCTCTGACAAGACCTATAGGTGAAGGATTCATGTTACATATTAAGCATGTTGGGTGACATATTGTTGCTGGGTGGTGAGAGATTATTCATGAGAATCTTTAAATGTAGTAGTGAGCTGACAAATATAAGCCCGTCAGCTGCCGAGCTTTTACACTTGTAAGTTGTGGTGGGCAGGTGAAGTTCTTTCCTCAGCTGCTTGCCTTTGGAGCTTTCTGGAAGAGAAACATTCAGAGGGTCCTTGTGGATTTGATCACTGAACTGCAGGTATCTAACTTGCATATAAATAGCTTGAGAGGAAGAAATAAGTTACCTTGAAGACTAATAATTTAGACTCTGAAAAATACACTTGTATCTTCTGCTTTCTTTTGTTGAAACATGCTCTTTGGTCTATGACTATGGGAGTCTGTGAATATTTGGTACCTCAGAATTCTCTGCATAATTTTAACTGAAGTGTCTTTGACATCTAAAGAAAAGTGGTTGCTTTGTTACTAAGATACAAATAGCAGCTTCTTCTGTGACTAAGTGGTTGAACAGTTAAATTACAAATCTGTAAAAAAAGGAAAAAAATATAGGAAGACTGTAATAAAAAGAAGTCACTCCTAATTAATGATAGAATGTACTTGCTTGCAGTTCTTTTCTTACAGTCTCTTTAAAAATGTTTTTCCTTTTTTCCTTCATAGCGTTGGCTGACTGAACAAAGAGCTCAGTGCCCTCATTGTAGGTAAGGTATTTTTAATATAAGAAATA